TGGCTTCAGGTTGGTACAGCTCTGGCTGTTTTGGCCTATTGGGGAATGAGCCAGCAGATGGAAGACACCTCTCTCTCTGAATCTCCTTCTCTCTCTGTGTAACTCTGACTTTCAAGTAAATAAATATATCTTTTAAAAAAAAGTTCAAGCAGGGCCTGGCACTGTGGCAAAATGCATAAAACCACTGAACCACTGACTGCAGTACTGGCATTCCATATGGGCTCTGGTTTGAGTCCCAGCTGCTTTACTTCCATTCCAGCTCTCTGCTATGGCCTGGGAAAGCAGTGGAACATGGCCCGAATCCTTGGGTCGCTGCACCCACGTGGGAGACCCAGAAGAAGAAGCTCCAGGCTCTGGGCTTCGTTCTTGGGACTGGCCCAGTTCCTGCCATTGCAGCCCTTTGGGGAGTCAAAGATTCATATTCTTTCTCTCTCTCTCTCTCTCTCTCTCTCTCTCTCTCTCCCTCTCTCCCTCTCTCCCTCTCTCCCTCTCTCCCAATCTCTCTCTCTCCCTTTCTCTCTCTCTTTCCTGTAACTGCCTTTCAAATAAGTAAATCTTTTTCCTTTTTTAATTTTATTTTTTGACAGGCAGAGTGGACAGTGAGAGAGAGAAAGAGAGACAGAGACAAACGTCTTCCTTTTGCCGCCGTTGGATCACCCTCCAATGGCCGGCGCAACATACCATTGCACCGCGCTGATCCGAAGCCAGGAGCCAGGTGCCTCTCCTGGTCTCCCATGCAGGTGCAGGGCCCAAGGACCTGAGCCATCCTCTACTGCATTCCCAGGCCACAGCACAGAGCTGGCCTGGAAGAGGGGCAACTGGGACAGAATCTGGTGCCCTGACCGGGACTAGAACCTGGTGTGCCGGGGCCACAAGCAGAGAATTAGCCTATTGATCTGTGGCACCGGCCTCTAGTAAATCTTTAAAAACACAAAAATACCTAGTCATGTTGCCTCTATTTTGTAACCCTGGAAACCCAGGTTCCTCCATATGCGTCCCAGCATCTTTGCGTGTGTGTGTAAGAGCCACAATCCTGCTTTCTTTAAGTGAGCTGACCCACAGGCCATCAAGACAAAAGTCTTCAGATCCTTTATGTTTATATTCAGAGTCTTCTGGAAGAATCTGAAAGCACAGGAGTACCTGTACAGACACTGGAGTCATTGCTCGCTGCTGCCACTAGGTGGTGATAGGAACCAAGGCTGCTCAGGCTTGCACCCTGCCTTCCCCTCCCATTTAGGCCATTCTGAGCTCGCTTTGGAAGCTCCACTGAGGGGAAGGAGCTCTCCAGGAGTAGGTTTGAAGGTGACAGGGTGGCATAACAGGTCATCAGGTGTTTGTGGCAGGTGAGGGAAAAGGGGTGTCCAGATCATATTCTCAGGAATGTGGCTTCACAGCGCATTGAGGACAGCAGGAGGAGCTGTTAACTGGAGCAGCTTCTACAGACTGATGAGCTACCCATGAGACTGTTGAAGCTAAAAGACCCTTGAGCATAAGCAGGGTGCTGAGACCAGACAACCAACATTCTCGGGTCGATAGCTACTACTTGAATTACTGAGTTTCAGGATCAATGCTTCTTCAATCTTTCAAATTGATGTCAAAATGTGGTCCATGGTGTCTGTCAATTTGTAATTCCATCCTCAACAAATTTTATGCTTTTGCAACACCAAAACTGTCCCTCAGTGATCGATTTTTATTCAGCTCCTGCCTCTGTACATGGAACTCCTTTTTCTGTCAATTTCTAAAGCTCATGTTCTATGTATACCTCACCAGTTTTTAAGTTATCTATTTGAAAAGCAGAGTTAGAGAGGGGGCAGAGTGGAAAGAGAGAGGTCTTATATCTGCTGGTTCACACCCCAAATGGCTACAAAAGCCGGATCTGGGCAGACCCAAAGCCAAGAGCCAGGAGCTTCTTCCGGGTCTTCCAGGTGGGTGAGGGGCCCAAGGACTTGGGCCATCCTCTACTGCTTTCCCAGGCAATTGCAGAGATGGATTGGAAATCAGCAGCTGGGACTCCAACCAGTGCCCATATGGGATGCGGCACTGCAGGCAGTGGCTTCACTCGCTACACCATGACAGGCACCAGCCCCTGATCTAGCTCCCTGCTGATGTGCACAGGAAAGCAGTAGAAGATGGCTCAACTACTCAGGCCCCTGCCTCACATATAGGAACTCTGATGGAGTCCTAGGTTCCTGACTTTGGCCTGGCTCACCCCTAGCAATTGTGGCCATTTTAGGAGTGAAGCAGCACAAGAAAGATCTCCAGCTCTCTCTATCTGTAACTCTGCCTTTATACTAAAGAGATAAATCTTGGGCCAGCGCCATGGCTCACTTGCTTAATCCCCCGCTTGCCTGTCAAAAAATAAACAAAATAAATAAAGCAAGTTGCCCCACCCAAAATAAAGATTTATTTTGTTTATTTTTTTGGGGGGTGCAACTTGCTTTATTAAACAGAAAACGGAATCTGTGTGGCAGGGAAGGCGAGGTCCCTCCCTCCTTCCCTGCCTCCTTCCTTCCTTCCTAGCTTCCCTCCCCGCTTCCCTCTCTCCCTCGCTGTTTTTTTTTTAACTTTAAATTAGTAAACATAAATTTCCAAAGTGCAGTTTATAGATTACAATGGCTTCCCTGCCCCCAATAACTTCCCTCCCACTCGCACCCCTCCCATCTCCCGCTCCCTCTTCCATTCACATCAAGATTCATTTTCAATTATCTTTATAGACACAAGATCGATTTAGTATCTATTAAGTAAAGATTTCATCAGTTTGTACCCACACAGAACATAAAGTGTAAACTACTGGTTCAGTACTAGCTATAGCATTAATTCACATTGGACAACTCATTAATGACAGAGATCCCACATGGCCTAGTGGTTAGGATTCCTGGTTTTCACCCAGGCGGCCCAGGTTTGACTCCTGGGGTGGGAAGTTGAAAAGAAATCTTTAAAAAATAATTTTTCAGGATACCAAAAACAATTCCATGGAGAATGTAATTCAGTTAAATACCCGGACAGAAGAGACACTCCATTCATTGTCTATGATACACATTCAACGCACTTGTATTTCAGCTCCCACACCACTTTGTTGTATATTCTTGATAGCTAGTTGTTCAAAAATATTATTAGAGAAAAAGATAAGGCAAAGAGGAAAATACTTCATTCATATCTCTCCCATCAGTTATTATAAAACATCCTTAACATGTGAACATCATGACATATACACATCTCATTTTTTTAGAAAACCACTTTTATTTGATTAAAAAGTACATGATTCCTATTAATTACATATTTCACCAAAGTGCGTAGACAGAAATAATCATTCTACTTCCTAAGAGTTCCTGTCTGTTAACAGTAAGCAAATGAAATTCCAGGCATCTGCTATTTCGAGTTCATACAAAGCAAGCTGGAGGGATAGATGGATGAGCACATGTAAATATTTGGAACCAGATGTCTTCTAACTGAATGGGAACTCCATGAGGTCAGGGATTTTCTCTGTTGTGTTCCCTGCTACATTCTCCACCTACTTTTAGCAAGGTCTCTCACCTGGGGCTTTGTTAGTACTGGGGCTGGATAACTCTTCATTGCACAGGGTGGGGATGGCAATGGCATCTTCCTCTGTGTTTTAGATGAAGCAGCGTCCCTGGCAAGAACACCCTTTCAGTGTGGCAGCCAAAACCATCTCCACACATTACCAGATGGCCGCTCAAGGGCAACACTGCCACCAGCTCAGAACCACTGACCTAGAAAACATGTGGCACAAAAGAAAGGCTTGCTGAATGGATGAAGTGCTTGGAAAATCATTTAGGAGCAATTTTAAAAGTAAAGCAAACCCTGTGGCATAGCACATAAAGTGGCTGCCTGCAGTGTCGGCATCCCATATGGACACCTGTTCAAGTCCTGCCTGTCCACTTCCCATCCAACTCTCTGCTATGGCCTGGGAAGGCAGTGAAAGATGGCCCAAGTCCTTGGGCCCCTGCACCCATGTGGGAGACCCAGAAGAAGCTCCTGGCTTTAGACAAGCTCAGTTGTATCTGATGTGGCCATCTGGGGATTGAACCAGCAGATGGAAGACCCAGCTCTCTCCTCCCCTCCCCTCCCCTTCTTCTTCTGCCTCTCTGTAACTCTGTCTTTCAAATAAAAAAATAAATCTTAACAAAAAGGGGTGGTGGCCGGCTCTGTGGTACAGCAGGTTAAAGCCCTGGCCTGACGCAGCCACATCCCATATGGATGCTGGTTCTAGTCCTGGCTCTCCTCTTCTGACCAGCTCTCTGCTGTGGCCTTGGAGAGCAGTAGAAGATGGCCCAAGTCCTTGGGCCCCTGCACCCACGTGGGAGACCTGGAGGAAGCTCCAGGCTCCTGGCTTCAGATCAGCTCAGCTCCAGCCGTTGCAGCCATCCATCTGGCGAGAAAACCAGCAGATGGAAGACCTCTCTCTGTCTCTACCTCTCTATAGCTCTGTCTTTCAAATCAATACAATAAATCTTAAAACAAATTGAGCTAGCTGAGAAGTACACAAGGAGAAACACAAAGGAATAGGAGAAACCAGATCTGCTTGTGCCCTCAACAATAATCTACACCCGAGTCCAAGCATTTAGCTGACATGGGCCCACACCCGAGTTCAGAAAGGATGGGTGATCATGAGGAGCTGGGGTCGACCTGTCCATAGCAAGTGAGTGAATTCTACCAGCTCAGAAGTAGCAAACAGGCAGAACCGTGTGCTGAGATTGCCATGCCAGCCTTCAGGCCACATCAACTGCCTGAATTGGTGCTACGTCTGCGCAGAGCGACCCTCCGGGTGACACTACCATCGCGGACTACATTCCCCATAAGGCCCCATGGTGCGTCCTCCTGCAAGTCCTGCTGGAAAAGCCTCTGCTTGCAGAAGACTTGTGGTGGCCTTTGCCGGGGATTCCACTTTCCTGTAGGGGGCAGGGGGGTGGAAATGAAGATGCTCGAAGCCTGAGAGTGGAAGTCCCGACCCCTTTTAATTTCTCTTTCTCGCTCTTCAGCGGGCCCCTCCTTCGTCAGTGTCTGAGCCCCCTGTGCACCTTCCCCAGCGCGGGCAGCCACCCCCGCGCGCCTCTCTGCCGCCCCAGCCAGCACCCGCGGGGCCAGCACCACACAGCAGCCATGTCCGGAGGCTCGGGCTGGCAGCCCCGGCAGGCGCGGGGTGTGGGCTCTAGAAGGCTGGGAAACGGAGGTCCGTTGGTGCTCTGGGGATTTCTGTTCCCTTCCTCTCTGAGTGAGGAAAAGGTTTATATAGTTGTAAAGATCGAGAATGGAAAGCACGCTGCAAGGAAAAGATAAAATGACCACCCCAGACTCAAGTGGGGTGACCACGAGGGCTGTAGTCAGCTGTTCCCATGTACTACACGAGTGAGGAAGGCGCAAGTGTGCATAGGGGTGGTCCGGCCATCCCACATGGGTGCCGGTTCTAGGCCCGGCCCCCCCCGCTGCGCATCCATCTACCTGCTGAGCTCGGTGCCTGGTCCGGCCTCTCGTGGGAGACCCGGATGGAGCCCCAGGGACCTGGGTGAGGCCCCGGTGTGGCCCTGCCTGAGCCCGGCAGAGCCCTGGCTGATGCCCCATGTGGCCCTGCAAGATGCTGGCGGAGCCCTGGTTGAGGCCTGGGTTGGCCCTGGCTGGGGCCCCCTGGAGCCCTGCTGAGGCGGGCATCTGGGGAGCGAACCTGCGGATGGAAGATGTCGCTCTCGCTTTCACTCTCGCTTTGCCTTTCAAGTGAATTAAATAAAGGAACCAAGAAAATGCGTGTGCACACACGCGTGGGGTGCGTTTTCCTGGCAGAACTCGGTGATGAAGGCCCCGAGCAAGGCCGGGTTTCCCCGTGGTAACAAGATGGTTATCTGACAGTAAAAGCTCAGGCACGAGTTGGCCAGAGCTGACCGTGACGGGCGGCGTTGCCAAGCAGGGTTTCGGCAGGGCACCGCAGATAGTGAGCGGGGGCTGGAGCAGAAGCCCCGGCAGAGCAGGTGCTGAGCCCCACGTCCGCACAGTGGCTTATGGCCCTCATCTGAGGAAAGCCTTTTCCTGCAGTTAACTCTCTGCTGAAAATCCTCTCTATATGTGACATTAGGGAAATGACCTCTTCCTACGCAGAATATTCTGAAAGATTTTTTTCACACAAAATTATTCTTAGTAGTGAATTCTTAAAACACAAAAGCAAACTTTAAGATACCTGGTCAAACCATATTAGATGTAAATTAAAAATTACCTAGGAGTTTTCATCTTCAATACAATGTCAAGAGCCAAATACTAATTATATAAATATATAAATTTTATATATACATTTATATAATTATAAAAGTGAGTCACAGATGT